GGTGGGGGGTACGTTGAAGAGAAAGTAGAGCAGAAAGAGGGGAAATTCCATCTTGGAGTTGGAGAAGTTGCTGCAAAATTCCTTTTGGACCAGTAAACGATGGGTCCCTTTTAGACCAGTTGTGTTGACCGTTTTGCTCTTAAATTTGGGAATCGAATACGGAAGGCCGGAACAGCTACTAGATAACATCATGGTACTAATAAATAATTAGTAACAATCAATATGATGAAAATAGCAAAACAACAGTAAGGAAAAATACTGTGGTTCCAAGTAAGGTCAAGAATGTGTACAATCCCCTGTACTATTCATTATACATGTGTACATAAAATATCAGCAGAAGCTAACCAAGAGGATAATACAACAAATGAGCTTTTTTTCGATGATCAGTAACCAAGAGTCACTAGAGTAAAATCAACGCCTGTATAATCTAGCATCTGCGTTTGTTGCCATTTTTTTGTCCAAAAGTTGCCAAAAGTTGACACAAAAATGGCAAAAGTTGCCCAAAAAGTTGCCATTAATTTTCAAGCTTTCAACTCTCTGTTGCGACGTATATTATATAGCAAGTTGATAGAGTTAACTTCATCTAAAGCACCAGAATTTCTTTCGTTCCGTTTTATGCAACCAGAATATCATTTGTAGCCACACAGGATGTAAAAATGAAAAAGAAAGGTTTCACAACAGAATGAAATCAAAATTAGAACAGTACATAAACAACTACAAAGATTAACAAATAAAGATCTGTGTTAAGCTATCCGAAGATTGGCCGTTTGTAATTTTTTTAAAGAGTACAGGATATTACTTCCTGTTAAACTCTCAAGTAAATTATGGAATCATACACAATGGGCCTGTCGGTGTCAGTATTCCGTTTTGGTAGAGACACACTCTAGCATAACACTAACACTTTTTTGTATTTAAAAAAAGGTGGGAACTACACACGCTATATAAACATTAAAAAACGGGGGCTCTCGTGGCCTAGAGGCTAAGGTGTTAGCCTCTCATTCAAAGGTCCCGGGTTCGAATCCGGCTAACGACCGAAAACATTTTCTTCTCTAGAATTGTCTCCTTTCAGTTCCTTTCCTGCTCTCTAGCATTGTTCTGTCGTCTGCTTTCGTCTCCTCTTCCTGTCCCCACCCTCTCACCTCCTTTGCCCCCTCCTCTGGGCTCCTGTCTCTTTTTGCAGCCTTTGTACTGCTACTCCTTGGCTCCTTCTTACTGCTGTCTTTCAGCCACACCCCTGATCTTCTGGTAGGAAAGATCTACATATAGCCTTCTCGGACAAGGGCGAAAAATCTCGGAGGTCCCATGTGCAAGTTGTGCACGTTAAACATCCCTTGGTGTTCTAAAATCGATAAGAGTAGGCTTCGGCCGCCACCCGGGCAAAATTCAAAATTTCCTACCGACTGAAATAGTTTAACGTGTCCCGCGCGCTTATATGACTTTATACAGTTGCGAGCACCTTAAAAACACTTACCAAAAAATAAAAAACGCAAAAAAAAAACTACAAACATCAAAAACTGAAAAAAGAACACGCCAGAACAATAACAAGGAAAATTAAAACACAAAAAAGAGGGACAAATTAAAAGGAAAGAGCAATACATAAATAGATCTAGTATGTAATGTAATGTACTTATTCTTCATATGAAATTTCCTTCAAATTAACAAATCAACGTGGTGTTTAGTTTTTCTTTCTAAAAGTAAAGTTAATGAGGTTCGGTTTCTTTATTTTTGGGTTTTTGTATGTTTTCCTTTTTAGTTTCTTGATTTTTTAATCCCCAGGGTTTGTTATTTTTTGGAAAAATCCAAAAATCGCGGCCGCGGTTCGCGGACCAAAATTTGCCCAAAATCGCGGCCGCGACGAACGCAGATGCTAGTATAATGGGATGCCCTAAGAAAAACATTGAATATCACGAGAAGAGACATGGTGAGAGAAGGCATTGACCCAACTCCCTACTTGCAATACATAGATGATAATAAGGGGGTTTTTTTAGGGGGGGAGGGGTTAGAACACGTTATCTGGCTTTATTCATATACATGGCAATGGTGTTACAAAGGTCATATTATGCACTCAACCATGGCACACAACAAATGAGAACACAAATATTCAATTATTAAATGTTTCAACAGGTCCACGTCATAAACGTTCTCTCACCCCACCCACCCCCCCCCCTCTCTCTCTCTCTCTCTCTCTCTCTCTCTCTCTCTCTCTCTCTCTCACTCTCTCTCTCTCTCCCTCCCTCTCTCTCTCACACGCACACACACACACACACACACACACACACACACACACACACACACACACACACACACACACACACTATCCGTATCTCTCTTTCTCTCACTTCCTCTCTCACTCTTTCTCTCTCTCTATCCCTATCTCTCAGTCTGTCTACTTCATTTTGACCCCGTCTATAGTCTATCCATCCATCCATCCATCCATTTATCCATCCATCCATCGATCCATCTGTCTATCCATCTATCTGTCTGGAGCTGTAATCACGTGCGCTTGTGGGACTGCTAATATGAGAAGGCGTTGCCTCTGACGATCGCCAGATATTTTCTGTCGAACAACCACCTCAATTCCCGTGGGTCACCTGTGGCGTTTGCTTACCCGACGACCAACTTTGTGAAGGAACTGGGTCGTCAGGGGACCGAGAGCGCCGGATGTTTCGACGGCCACTGGGACGAAGTGGTAGCGGTCGCCTGAGGCCTACGTACTACATGTATTTTCTAATTTTGGACTCTTCTGCCTTCTTGGCGATACTGCCGGGAGCAGAGGCAGAGAAGGTGATGGACATCGGTGAAAAAGAGAGCATGTGGCGTCCCACACTAGGCATTTGCCACCCTCGAAAGGAAAGATGGTGAAGCCATCAGGCCTTTTGCCGTCGCCCCGGTCAAGGCCAAATGGTCAAGGATACAATGTAGGCAGGACGCATCGAGCGCACGATGATAGATTTTAAAAAATTTTAAAAACGAATTAAATTGTTTTGGGCGCCTAATACTTCTAGGCTGTATTGCAGCAACAGCAGACAACCAGAAACCAGAAAGAAACAGAGGAAGGGGCAGGCCAAGGAAAAGGTGGATAGAGGAGGGAGGGGGATGGGGCACAGAAACTTTAATTAAGAATAACATAACCGTGCAACTGGCGACACAAAAAAGTAGAACAAAACGTTTGCTTCTCTCCTCGACACGGCAAGGTAACAGACGACGCAAAAAGTAAGAAAGTAAAGTATGTACACCAGGGTACGAGCCATGCAACTTCAAATTTAAAGGTTTTTTGTCCGAGTTTAGAAACAGGAAATATCAAACACGGCCAGAAGCCAAGCATGGTATAAGCTAACTGAATTGGTCCAACAGCAAGCACCAGATGAAAAGGAAAGCAAAAGACAGGAAAGGAAATAAGGTCATTTTAAAAGTTTATTTCATTCTAGAAAAAGACGATTAAGTACTGGAAGACCTTTTTAATGGGGTGTACTGATGATTCGGAGCTGTCGAAATCGAAAAATTAGTCATCGGTGCCGTTATGTCAGTTGACTTTACATCCAGGGAAAAGAAATAGGCTTGAAGATTAAAGAAACTCTAATTTTAAGGGACACAAAACTTTTTGTATGGCTTGGACATTGAATAAGTTCAATGAAGGACTGACAACTTAAACATCGCAAGTAGAAGCTCTATCGCAGGCACACCCTTTAATTTACTATCGGGGTCATACTCGCTGAATGGTCCTATCTGTGTCGGGTTGGAGTGCGGGACCCTTGCGTCATGGTTTTATCTGGAACATGTTGCATTCCCACGAACAACAACCAACCCGCACCTTTGTCTTCTTTGTTTCACAGATAAGCAAACAGATCTTCGATCCCTTCATTTACTTTTTCTTCTTGGCGTGCCAGGCATGGACGATTATGATTCGCAACTTTTTTTCTCTGTTTGGGGGGGGGGAGGGGGCTTTAAAATATAACGATATTATATTGTATCATACGTTTGAATAATAGATGCAGATACCACGTTTGAATAATAGATGCAGATACCGCAAAAATGGTAGCGTTAATAAAAGAAATCAGTACTTTTGATAAGACTAAAATATACCTTTTTTAGTGAAAGGTCATGGCAGTCGCCTTATCAGTGAAATATTAAAAGAAATGTTTTTAAGAAAAGAACATTCATGCTTCAAGTCGATAAGTAGATCTATTACGTGGATATAACATGCGTCCAGTCTTACCCGGTGTCCATTAGACGTTGTTCTTCTGCCCGTGAGTACGTTCTAGTTGTATGACAAAAGAGTAACTTTATTTAATTGCGTATTTGACTGTCTGCTTTCTTCATTAGCGAGGTATTTAATTGAAGGGGTCAACACGGCCTGAATTTTTGTTTTTAATCGTACAGCTTTCGTTCTATCCTTCAAAAAACGCACAAAAACAACGTGAAAATACAAACAGACCCAAACGTATTACAGACCTGCTATAATTAATTATAAACGTAAGTCCTTTATTATTTGAAGAAGGGGATCTTTTATCATGACAAATAGGAGCAGTCAACATGAAAATGACGTGTGGCGTCTGCTGTGGTAAATGAGACCAATTCTGGCAAAGAAGAGTTGTCACATTTTGAACATTTAAAAGATTTCAACTTGTGAATATCTTTTTACACAACCACAGCCACTTATACGTGATTGATATCGAAAAAAAAGAAGAAAAGAATAGATGACTTTATGATAATAGAGAAAAGGTATACAATAACAGGGAATTCTGCCGTAGATTCCAATCTTAATTTGGTATCCTCTCCAGTAAGACACATACGGAGTCTCAGCAGAGGGCGATGCCGTCAACATTTCTCAACTTGATACTCCTGGCCGGGCTGGTAGTGCAGAGCTCCTGCGTTGCTCCGACGTTGCTGGGAAAATTCTCTTACCCACATGCCGCATTCAGCACCCTGTACCAGCAAGGGACCTCCTCCAGATATGACCTCCTGCTCTCCAGCTTTGGGATATTCAGCTCCAACGTTGCCGTTGTCTCAGATGTGGGCCAATACTTACAAAGAGTGTCCAGTATTAACACCAAGACTTTGACGCAAAACGTCAAGTGGCCCAATGAAGTAACTGGCGTGCCTCGTGAGTTCTGACAAAGATTATAATACCAAATATGGTGGTTCGCCCCTCTATTTAAGATTCTAAATGAAAATACCGGTACTCAAAACTCTGACGTGAGACATTTATAGTATAAGACCGGATTTGCTACTATCTTTTTGGGAGTGACAGGCGTTGTGCTTGCTTACTAAGAGTAAGACCAAATATGATCCTGATAGAAATCTCATTTGAGAAACAAACTAAAGAGTTTGATTACCGCGAGTAGCCACATCTACAACGCTGAGCTTTGACAATGGAGCGGTTTTATTTTTTAAAGAGTTGACCATTTTGTAGCAAGTTGCTTTTGAATCTGAGTGCTGAGTTTGTGTTAAGAAGTTGCTTCCTATCAAACCCCTCTACTTTTTTTAAATGTGTGGTTCTCATGTTCAATAGGGATATGCGAGCAACCATCAACACATTTCCAAATACATAACACACGTACATATAAGTCACATTTTGAGAGGATTTTAAGTTCTCTTGCTTAAACCATGGTACTGGTATCCTTATACGCATCTATTCCCCCATATACTTTCATTTATCATTATTACGTTTTCCTACCTAACAAACATTAAACCTTCCAAGCTCAAGAACAGTTCATTGGGGTTTGAATCACGGCCGGCCATTCACACAATAGCGCAAAACAATATCAACATATTTCATGCTCCCACAGCGGTCATTTCATGCATTACATGTAGTCAATAAGTATGGGTTTGTTGAGACCTGGAGGGTAAAATGGGTTTGACAAATAAAAATCGTCTATCGAACAGAGACTGGTTAGCAGTGCTTTAGAGGCTGTACTACGAAAAGTACTACTAAGAAAAACTGATTCACATGAATATTGTTGTCGATCGCGAACAATTGCCTGAAAATTTTGGAGCTAACAATCGAATTAAATGTAATTCTACTTGTACTATTCTTGTGTGTCATGTGTAGGCAATGACGCATATTCCCTCCTAATTTCGTTTTAAGATTCGCTGCAATTAAAAGATTCGCGATTTGCAATATACCCACCAAAGACGAAATTTCGAAGTTTTGCTTGATCGTAAGATAAGTAAACATCTCTTACTTTTATTCAGTGCAATATTTGACTAGGTGTAAAGTAACTACAGCCAAAAATGAGACCTCGATCATTAATAATATTTAAGACTACAATGGAAAAAAGGGGGGGGGTTACGAGAAGGAAGCGCGGGGCAGTGCAGGGCTTGGTGAAAAATGGGGGTAGGGGTGGCAGAGTTTTTAAAAATCAGTTAGTGAGTTGTAAGCTTAACTTTTGATAGAATAATTACTGCATAGAATTAAGAAAAGGGTTGCAGGGCTGAGGGGGGGGGGGGAATCACAAGTAAAAGAATCTCTAGTTTACTCTGAAAAAAAAGAAGATTTATAGCCCCAAAAATAAACTCAGTCTTGGGTTATACACCCTTTTTAAAAGAGGTACAGTAGAAATAAAGTAATGACCTGAGCTCAGCGTATTTTTTTTACTTTCACTTTTGATTTTGTCAAGACCTTAAAATGCGACTTGTATTGTTTTCCTGGGTTTTTTTAAATTTGTAGTTACATAAACGTATGATTCACAGGAAGGTTGTGTCCTTATTGTAAAATTCTTCTCCTGCGCCCCCCCCCCTCCCCTCCCCGCTTCTTTGTTTTCTACAATTAAATCGACCGGAACAACTAAAGCGGCCGTGTTGAAATCATCAACTCGCTATATGGCAATCCCTGACGGCTTTTTGGTGCCTGGGAAGACTTACGGTAGCGTAAGTCTCATCAATGTGGATGGCAGTCAGTCTAGCCCGAAGACAATCACCGGAGGAGGCAACTGGTTCTACCATCGGGTACGTTGGGTGGACATGGACAAAGATGGCCGACTGGACGGACTCACGGCTCGTGCCCATAAGCCATTCATTGGTAAGAAAAATTACATTTTTTCGATTCCCATGGGGGAATTTGGGTTTACAATAGCAAATATACATACATAAATCGTTACCTTAGAATTACAAAGTTCTATCTGACATTTTTAGCCATTTTGAGTTTCTAAGACCACGAGGCCAGAAACCAAATGCTCTGTCTGCTCTGTCAAAATCGTAAGATTATTTGGAGCCGTTATCAAAATATTCAAAGAATTGCATTTGCAAAAGCTTGATTTGTTTTGAAACCCAAATTTTTTTTACTTCAAATCTCTCAAAATTGGGTAGGCCTACTGGGCAGATAGACCTTTGCAATTCTAGGGTAGAGAAATACATAATTCTAGATCTAGTATAAAACATGCATAAATACACACGTAAATACATACATGTACCCAAATAACCATTACACATCAATTTCACAAACATGCCATTGTTGGTTGCCCTTGTGCAGCGCCCCATTTTTTAGCTAGGGCTGTCGTGTCTTGCTTAAGGACACAGCCCAGTGACCACCCATCTGATCCTAGTGTCACCGACACTTGCTTTACACTCTCTCATTTCGAAGGGCCCCAGTAATATTGGGGTCTACTTTTGAAAGGTTCTCCGCCAAGTTTTGAGGCACATGCGCGTGTCCCAGTCCCACTGACAGTTCACTTTCAAAAACCTATCTTTTTCTTTAAAAACATAACAAAAACAAAACTTATCGGTTGAAATGGTAAATGCGAAACTGTGCCGAGTTCCACTAACAAACCTACGAAATCAGGTTATCGGTTCTAACAGGAGAAGAGAAACTAACTGTATCTAGATCTAGATTTAAGTTAACTAAGTCCAGGAAACAAACACACTTGAAGTGTGTGAGAAGACTTAACTGCCAATTAACGGGGTAGCATGGTATTTCTGCCAGCTCGTCATAAGGAACCAATAACAGTCGAGCGTGTTGATCGATGACCGATATAGCTTTCGTTTCTCTCGCTCAAGGTCGTCTTCGGATTCAGGTTTCGTTTCAGTAGGAAAAAAACTCCTTCCATGTTTATGATGGCATTGTCCTATCTATTCAACCACGGTGTTATTTGTAACTTTGAGCAGCAGGTAGAATAGGTCCTGGGTCAAACACATTCACCTGTTGAACTACGTAGCTGGTTTATACACTGTAAAAACCTTCTAAACCCGGGTATGCACGGACCAGAGATCGACATACCAAAAGTCACCCGTTTCCCGTGAAAATTGCAGTGCCAAATCAAAGTCGAGTTGAACAATTATAACAAGCACCTAATTGCCTTGTGGAATATGTCTGCAATGTTAATACCGTCAAACCTCGTTGTACCGCCCCCTGCTGTATCGCCAGCTCCGGCTCCGGTAACCTCCAGGTTTTGCCAGTGTAGCCTACAAAATGAAACGCCTATAAAAATAGCATTTACGCGTTTACACTACACCACCATCTTCCATATTCTCACTGTCTGAGTTATGCCGTCCTCATTAAACTAATGTAGATTTGACCCGATATACCGCCTCAGAGGTACACACTGTGACACTACACACAGCGCACTCGGTGGCTGCTTGATAATCTCTTTTCTACACACGTCTCTGCAAACTCGGCCTATTTCTAGCTCTTGTCGTCGATTTGCTTCTGATTTGCGCTGATTATGAAAAGGGTAGCGTATGAAAATGTTACATGAATTAAATTTAGGCTTTGGTCAATATTTAGATAAAAATTGGAATTAAATTTGTAAGTTGCTTGGATAAACTTTCAAACTACTCTGCGTCACCTGGGCTTGCCAGCAAAATGATCTTGTGCCGACAGATATCTGTCCATGAGGATTTTATATTGTGAGGGCTCACGCCCAAGTCTATAAGACAGGTCTGAGGCGGCCCGAAGACTGACGAGTATCAGTTTTAAAATTACAGTCCGTCTGCGGTGTCCTTGAAACCAGTCCTCCTATGTAGCCTCGCTTCTGATCTTTGCTTCTTTTAATTTGAATTTACGCTGGAGCTCTACATGTAATTGATGATTGCTTCTTGTTTACTTTTCCGTGGGCATGGTAATCGCGGAACACAGATCTATATGAGGCAAAACCGGGCTCAGTTTGTCTCTAGTCAGAAGTCTCTTGCCTTTTCCAGTCAACCATTAGTCAAGATGGCAGTCGCTGCTATCCAGTTATATCGCCAGCCCCATTGTAACGCCATCTTTATGTCCTTCAAAGGTAAGGGATATAACGAGGTTTGACTGTATTTTCAGAATAACAAGAATCGGGATCCGTGGCAGGTATTTCTATGGTCACCAAAATTAATGGGAGAGGTAGGAGATATATTCACTAAAACCATCAACTTCTTAAGACTATTGGACATTTACATGTACATGTATTTATTGGATTCTGTGACCGGCTCCGATGTGACTTGTGCATGTCTTATGATTCTCTACACTCACGCAAATAAAACGGGGGCTCTCGTGGCCTAGAGGTTAAGGTGTTGGCCTCTCATTCAAAGGTCCCGGGTTCGAATCCGGGTCGCGACCGAAAAATTTTCTTCTCTAAAATTGTCTCCTTTCACCCCCTTTCCTGCTCTCTAGCAATGTTCTGTTGTCTGCTTTCATTTCCACTTTCTGCCCCCACCCCCTCACCTCCTTTGCCCCCTCCTCTGGGCTCCTGACTCTTTCTGCAGCTTTCTACTGTTACTCCTTGGCTCCTCCTTACTGCTGTCTTTCTGCCACACCCCTGATCTTCTGGTAGGAAAGATCTACACCTAGCCTTCTCGGACAAGGGCGAAAAATCTCGGAGGGCCCGTGTGCAAGTTGCGCACGTTAAAGATACCGTGGTGGTCTAAAATCGATAAGAGTAGACTTCGGCCGCCACCCGGGCAAAATTCAAAATTTCCTACCAACTGAAAATATTAGGAGTGTCCCGCGCGCTCATATGACCTATGCAGTTGCGAGCGCCGTAAAACACTTTACAAAAACAAAAACAAAATAAAACGATCACTCTGACCACTGCAGGTAGTGCCCAAGGTCAACTCCTGTGGCTGAGCAACCCCGCTGGCCACTCCATCGACTCACCATGGACAGAGAATGTGATCGCTTCGGGCCCGGATACTTTCTTCGAGTTTAGCACTCTGACGGCTGGAGGCAAGTCGTATGAAGTTATTCTCACATCTGAATTTTTCGACCAAAAGTTGAGAATATTCTGGACGGAGGATCCCCAGCAGAACTGGAAAAACACGCAATACGTATGTACTCTGCTGTTCTATCTCCTTCAAAGTAATTTTGTCTCCATTTTCATTGTCGAACAATCATTTCTTCAATGGCTCACTCACGGCGAATCTCGGCATTTTGAGAACCATTCAAACGAGAAGAGTCACCTTTGTCTTCCTTCTCTTTGTTCTACGTTAAATTTTTCTGGATGCTGGTGACAAAACCGTTTCACCTCCAAACTTCTATAATTAATTTTCATCTGATGAAAAAGTTGCCTCAAAAGTGGTTTGATGTAATTAATAACTGTTAAATCTCAGCGGCACTCACACAAACATGCATACACAGCACTCCACGAGCTCACAGCTGCGCTTAAGCCGTGTTGTCCAGGAAAGCAGACAGCACCTAACAAATGTCCAATGGGAGCGTAGGTAACTGTGTTACTGGGGGAAAGTGTGTCGTAAACCTTCACCCCACTGTCAGGGCTAGGGCAGCGTGAGCCCTCTGTGCAGTGTTATTTTTTTTCTCCAAGTCTTCTACCTTTTTACAAGAAGTTTCATTTACGGGGGGGGGGGGAGGGGGCTCATCCTTTGCTGCCTAAAGACATTTGATTGGCCGTTAGGTTACTATAGTTGTAAGCGGTGGCAATAGTGATTGGATAAACAAGCAAGCCATCAAGTTGATTACTCTGTTTGCATTGCGTGCGATCGTAACGGTTTCAACTGCTTATTTCGTTATTTTCATTTGCTTTGGGATAGAGTTGGGGGTGGGAAGGGGGGCTAAAGCCCGTGATCCCTTTACTACCCACCGCCACTGCATTTCTTTATGTTCATACTATTTCGTTTCTCTCCTGACCCCCCTCCCCCTCAATCTCTCTCTTTCTCTCTCTCTCTCTCTCTCTCTCTCTCTCTCTCTC